AGCCGGCCCCAGGGGGACGGATTCTTGCCCCCAAAATGATCTCGAGGGGCGTTTAGGTGGGACGGGGCGTCACTCTGCGTCCGGGGTTTGCTCTGAGCAGGCCGAAGCTGGGGGAAGGGGAGGGTGGGAGGCCCACCCCGGCCCTGTGGCCTCCGTGGAGCCAGAAGCCCAGGGTGTGCCAGCGACTCCATCCAGGGCGTCGGGGGCAGGCCGGGGCATGGGCCTGCAGGAGCCCGTGGGAGGCCCTCGCCAACAGCCGTCTGGGGCCTGCCCAGGACGGCCCGCCTTCCCCGTCTGCGTCCACGGGGCCTGTGGGAGCCAGAAGCGCCGGAAAGTGCCAGCGTCTCCATGGACTGTTGGACCATGGAGCTGAGAAAGCTGCCGGGGCACAGGGAAGAATGGTTTTGCGCAAGGATCAGTTCCGGGCCGGGAGGGTGTGGCGACTCTGTCCTTGATTTGCTGTGTGCTTCTGGCCTCAGTTTCCCAAATGTCCAGTTGCTCAAGTCCTCTCTGTCCCAGCCCTAGGCCCTTTCTGCCTCTCTCACTCCTTCGCGTTTTGCAGAGGTGCACCCCGGAATCGCCTCCTGTGCCTGGCCCTGTCCTGGCAGCACCTGGAAGTGTGACCGAGACAGCCCCGGACCCTCTTCTCCTTCACAGGCCAGTGGGCCGGACAGACGGGCCACTAGATAGTGACAACCCAGAATGGGTCAGGGCGAGGATGGGGGAAGCAAAGGAGCTGTGGGATCCAAGGGACAAGCAGGTGCCGCTGACTCCACTGAAGGGTGGAAGAGCGGTCTAAACCTAGACTAAAAGTGTGGGGTGGGCTGGGAGCCTGGGAAGAGGGTGGGTGTCTACAAGGAGGAGGTATCTGAATGAGTCCCAAAGGAGTGGCACTCTTCCCAGAGGTGCTGTGTCACCCTGAAGGAGAGGGCGGCTCTAGGCAGGGGAATGGCAAGTGTGAGGGCTGGTGAGACCGTGTGGCTGTCGCTGGCAGAGTCCTCTGCTCCCTCCCCGGGGATCCCGCAGGCCCACAGAGCTGTCATGGGCTCCCCCTAGTCATGGAGTCCATGAGCAGGTACATGGGCTATAGCGGGAACTCCTGAGGACAGGCCCTCAGCTTGTTCCTTCACAGCCTGTTGGTTGAATGACCAGCCCTGACTTCCGTCAGAAGCTGGGTTTGAATCCCAGCTGCCCTCACTACTCAGGTGTGTGATTGTGGGCAATTGACTCAACTTCCCCATTTAGCCAAATGGTATGGAATATGGGGTGGCACAAAATCACCTTGTTTTAAACAGCTGTATAGCCTAAACGTAAATATGTGTGTGTGTGTATGTGTGTGTTTGTGTTTGTTTAAAAATAATTTCATAGATTTTTTTTTTTTTTGAGTTGGAGTCTCACTCTGTCGCCCAGACTGGAGTGCAGTGGCCACTCCCAGCCGGCCACCACAGCCTCAACCTGCTGGGCTCCGGCGATCCTTCCACCTCAGCCTTCCGAGTAGCCAGAATTACAGGCACACGCTACCATGCCCGGCTGATTTTTTTATTTATTGTAGAGATGAGGTCTTGCCAAGTTGCCCAGGCGGGTCTCAAACCCGCAGGCTCAGGCAATCCACTCACCTCAGCCTCCCAAAGCATGGGATTACAGGCTGAGCCACCGAGTTCGGCTATTTTTCATAGATATCAAGGGGCCCAAGAAGCAAGAGAGAGCATGGCACCAAGTCAGGTGACATTTGGCCTGAGTTATGGAACATGCAACCGATGAAACAAGAATTTGCCAGTACAAAGATACACTATTACAAACCTAAAAATATTAATACTGAATTAGCAGTGGTTTATAATTTGTGTGTGTGTTTTATTCCTCGGTTCAAAATCTCTTTAAGGAACAACATAGGGTGATTCATTTTTGGCGACCTTTAATGCCCACCTGGCAGGTGCTGAGTCAGAGGCACCTGTGACACCTTATGACTCAGAGACTGTTACTCAGGGAGACCCTTTTCCTCCTGTTTTAGTAAATGACTCAAGAGGAAAGTCTGTGACCACACTGCATGCCCTCCCCACGCCCTCCTTTCCTGAGGGGCACCATTAGAGTCTTCCTTTATTGGCTGTCCTTGTATAATACAAATCTGTAAGTTTAGATACAAAAAAAACCTGGAAATAAAAGATAGAAAAGTACCCGCCAGGCACTCCTCCCCCCTCTTCCGGGACCCCTCCCCAGCGGGCGCCGTCGTGAGGTAACTGAGCATCTCCTTCCCCTCCCCCACCGCCAGCTTGGCCCCTGCCCCCATGAGACCTTGGCCCAGGGAAGACGTGGGCCCAGGGCGGGAGGTGAAGGGGGTGAGCACAGCATTGGCAGTGAACGCAGTGGGCAGGCAGAGGGCAGCCCTCAGCTTGTGCTGTGTGTCGGGGAGGAGGCTACTGGACGGGGCGGGCACTCGTGAGGGGTCTGGGAGAGCCCCTAAGTAGGCGCCCCCTCCATCCTGTCCAGCGCTCGAGGGTGGAAGGTCAACAACAGAAACTAGAAGACGTAGCGTGAACCGAGGGCATTCAGCGGGACTGTGGCCATCCCTGTGTCCGGGGTGTGGGGAGGGGGCGCTGCCAGCCAAAGTCCGGCAGTGAAACGCTCTTGGCCAGGCTGGGTCCGTCCCTGAATTCCATCTTGTCGCAACCTGGCGTCACAATGTTGGTTCTGGAGTGGTTGTGAGGGTGGTTGAGAGGAGGGGTGTTGAGGGGCACAGCCCCAGGGATCGGGACTGGGGAGAGGTGGGTCTCCACTCCCAGGCGAGGGGAAGCTGGAGACGACTGGAGACGGCGGGGCGGGCAGGGCGGCCTGGGCTACAGTTCGATCTCGAAGGTCTTCTGCAGGTCGCCAGAAAAGGGGTTGGAAGGCTTCTCCACAGCGGGTTTGCCTTCTAGTGCTGCCCACTGGGCCTCGAAGGGGTCCAACTCAGGGGCCGGGGTTGGCGCTGGCTCCGGGGGCCAAGGGGCCGCGTTAGGGCGTGGGCGGGCCTGGTTCCCAGGGGCGCTGGGTACGGCAGGAGGCGGGAAGGCCCCGGCTTTCCCAAGCAGGGTGGCAGGCTGGGGCTGGAGCTGGGCGGCAGAGCAAAAGGCGTTGGCCACCATCTGTGAAGGGGTGATGCCCACCACCGGCACCCGGGGCACTGGCGGGTAGCCCAAGCCCGGGTATGCGGGCACGAAGGGGGGCTGCATGTGCGGGGGTGGCAGGAACATGGCCACCTGGGCAGGTGCTGTGTCGAAGGGCCCCACGGGGGCAGGAAAAGGCTGCAGGGCAGGGGGCATGGTGGGCACTGGGGGCACCGAGGCTGCTTGCTGCTGTTGCTGCTGCTGCTGCTGGGCCTTGGCCACCTGGGACACTTCCTCCAGCCATCGCTCGGCCTCCGAAGGTGTCCGCTTGTGCCCGGGCTGGAAGGCGGCTGCGGGAGCCATGGAGGGCTCACCCCAGGCAGAAGTCCCTGGAGAGAGGAGAGGAGTGGGTGAGGGCAAGGGCTTCAGGGGAAGAACCCAGGTAAGGGAATGGGACGGCATGGGCATCAGAGCAGACACGAGCCAGATGGTTCTCTGAATCCCAGCTGTTCCTCACTCCCTGTGTTGACTTTGTGCAAGGGACTTGGCCATTCTGGACCACACAAGGGTTCTCAAGTGCTACAGCCACACAATTCTGAGACTCTAAGGCTCCATGATGGAAAAGTCCAAGTAGGACTGACATCTACCTGGTCCCACTGTCCTTCTAACAGGTCAGTGCCAAGCCTGGTATTAATTTTTTTTTTTTTTTTGAGTCTCACTCTGTCGCCCAGGCTGGAGTGCAGTGGCACGCTCAACGGCCACTGTGGCCTTGACCTGCTGGGCTCAGGTGGTCCTTCCACCTCAGCCTTCCAAGTAGCTGTAACTATAGGTGCATGCTACTATGCCCAGTTAATTTTTTTGATTTATTGTAGAGACGAGGTCTTGCCAAGTTGCCCGGGCTGGTCTCGAACCCGCAGGCTCATGCAATCCACTCGTCTCGGCCTCCCAAAGTGCTGGGATTACAGGCTGAGCCACCAAGCCTGGCCAAATTTGTTGTTGTTGTTGTTGAGAAAGCAGGATTCGTTGAAAGGACAGAAAAGCTGCCACAGTGGGAGAGGACACGAAGGAGTTGCCTTAAATATTTTTAATATCACCCTTGATTTTAATACTCTGAGAATATGTTGTTTTAGGAGGCTAAGATTCTAAGATTTCTCCAAGTGTATTATTCTAACATAGTAAATTAGGTTCAACAGTTTTAAGACTGTGTTTTCTAAGATTCTAGAGTTCTATATTTTGCATTGTTTGAGGTTCTAAAGTGATTCCAAGATTCTAAAATTATCTCTTGGCTCTAAGATGACCCATGGTTCTAAGGTGATTCCATGGCTCTAAGGGGATCCCATGACCTAAGATGATCCCATGGTTCTAAGATGATCCATGGTTCTAAGATGATCCATGCTCTAAGATGATCCCATGGCTCTTAGATGTCTTATAGCTCTAAGATGATCCATGGCTTTAAAAGTGATTCCAAGGCCATGCTCGGTGGCTCAGCCTTTAATCCCGCGCTTTGGGAGGCCGAGGTGAGTGGACTGCCTGAGCCCGAGGGTTCAAGACATGCCTAGGCAACTTGGCGAGACCTCATCTCTACAATAAATCAAAAAAATTAGCTGGGCGTGGTAGTGTGCGCCTGTAGTTCCAGCTACTCGGAAGGCTGAGGCGGAAGGATCGCTGGAGCCCAGCAGGTTGAGGCTGTGGTGGCCGGGAGCGGCTACTGCACTCCAGTCTGGGCGACAGAGTGAGACTCCAACTCAAAAAAAAAAAAAAAAGTGATTCCAAGGCTCTAAAATGGTCTCTTGGCTTCAAGATGATCCTAAGATTCTAGAATGCACCCATGCCTCTGAGATGACCCTGTGGTTCCAAGAAAATCCATGGTTCTAAGGTGATCCCGTGTCTCCAAGATGACCCATGGTTTGAAAGTGATCCTATGGCTCTAAGATGATCCATGGTTCTAAGCCTGTGGGATCCCAAGATTCCTGGAGTGCTTGAGTAGCCCTGAATGTAGGTGGGAGAGTCGGGGGGGGGCACTGCATAGTGTCTGTCCAGTGGACAGGCTTGTTTACCTGTTGTGGCAGATGGCGGCCCTGCTGCTGGTGCCCCAGTACTGGCAAAAGATGAGCTGATCTGTGTGCACAGAGCGTTGATGCTGTCACTGTCACTGGCACCAGGAGGCTCCATCTCAGGCACTGGAAAGTCAGCGAAGGATGGAGGTCAGCAAGCAGGCCCAGGCCCTGCCAGACCCTGTGCTTTTACCCTGCCTCTCAAGTGGCCCTCTTTTTTTTTTTTCCCCCCCAGAGTTCAGCTGTTTATTGAACACATTATAAATGGTTTAGTCAAACAGACCAAAGCCCATGTCATCATCAGACGCCTCAGATTCTTCCTTCTTTGCTTCCACTTTCTTCTCTTCAGCTGGGGCAGCAGCGGCAGACAGGGTGAGACTCCTGGCTGGGGCGGCCCCAGCTGCAGGTGTCGGCCCGCCAGCCCCCACAGAGCAGATGAGGCTCCCGATGTTGATGTTGGAGTGGCCCTCTCTTATTACCTGGGTTCTTTCCCTCCCACAGCATGTGGGTTGGTGGATCCGCCCTGTTATGACTAAGGGGCCATGGTCACAAAAATAACTGTGCATATGTGTGTGTGACAACTGAGTGGTATAACAACCAAGTTAGTGTATGACGATTGATGGCTGACAGGGACCCCAAACCAAGGACTTCAAGATCCGTGTGTGGCCATAAACCCAAACCAAACCAAACCAAAAGAAATGTTGAAAATGTTCTAGCCGGGCTTGGTGGCTCAGCCTGTAATCCCACGCCTTGGGAGGCTGAGGTGAGTGGATTGCCTGAGCCCGCGGGTTCGAGACCCGCCTGGGCAGTGAGACATCTCTGCAATAAATCAAAAAATCAGCCGGGTGTGGTAACGCATGCCTGTAATTCCGGCTACTCGGAAGGCTGAGGTGGAAGGATCGCCGGAGCCCAGCAGGTCGAGGCTGCGGTGGCTGGGAGCAGCCACTGCACTCCAGTCTGGGTGACAGAGTGAGACTCCAACTCAAAAAAAAAAAAAAAAGAAAAGAAAATGTTCACCTGGGCACAGTGGCTCATGACTACAATCCCAGCACTTTGGGAGGCTGAGGTGGGAAGATCGCTTGAGGCCAGGAGTTCGAGACCAGCCTGGGCAACATAGTGAAGCCTCATATCTATAAAAAATTTAAAAATTAGACAGGCATGGTGACATATGCTGTAGTTCCAGCTACTCAGGAGGCTGAGGCAGAAGGATCTATGAACCCAGGAGGTCAAGGCTCTGGTAAGCCATGGTCGCGCTACTGTACTGCAGTCAGGGTGACAGTGAAATCCTGACTCAAAAAAAAAAAAAAGTTTGACAACATACATTAATTTAAAGATATGTCCAACCGTGTGCATGGCAAGTGCGTGGACAGTCAGAATGGACGCTGGCCACATTGTGGCTCACTGGCTGGGGATCATTTGTCCTGCTTTGGGTGGAGAAACAGGCCCCGTCCACCCTACCCAGCCTATAGCAAACACCATGAGGGAAGAGTTGCACCCAGGCCAGCAGATGGCAGACACTGGGCAGGTGGAGTGGCTCCATGAGGGCTTGGTGTGAGCAAAGGTACCATCCAAATAAACAGTAAACAGTTCAGAACCACCATGTGTGGTATATGACAAATGTCTATGATGCTTTAGCAAGTGGCTGTTTCCAGGGGATCATGTGGATACTCCAGGGAACATCAGAACTGGCTGTGGAGTTGGGAGGTGTGAAGTAGGGGCCCAGGTGGAAGAGGGTGTAGTTTCAACGTCTACGATGTCTGTGTGTGTTTGTCCGAATGGGCCTGTGGCTTCTGAAGGTGTTGCATCTGCGTGTGACTGAAATCCAGGAGTGAGGCACCTGATGTGTGATTCCAGGTGTGAGTGAATCCACATGTGTGATGTGTGCGTGTCTGCACAAGTGTGCACAGATCTGCACATGCAGCCTGAGTTTGCACGGATCCAGGTGTGTGGTTTGCGAGTGTGTGTAAATCTGGGTGTGTGATTTTTGACTGCGTGTGACTTTTTTGTTTTGTTTTGTTTTGTTTATTGCTATTTTTCATTTTAGAAAGACGGGGTCTCACTGTGTTGCCCAGGCTGGTCTTGAATTCCTGGCCTCAAGCAATCCTCCTGTCTCCACCTCCCAGGGCGCTGGAGATTACAGACTTGAGCCATCGTGCTTGACTCGTGACTTCTGAGTGCATGTGAGCTTGTGACACGTTTGTGAGAGTGTGATATCTATGTGAATGTATGAAATTTCTGTGTAGCCAGTCACATCCAAGCAAGGGTGCAGCTGGCTGCAGAAGCGTGAGGCTTCCAAATAAAGCCTGGGGAGCTGCTGCCTCTTGGGGCGCACATGTGATAGCCTGGGGTGTGTGCTTAGCGTCAGGCTGCATGAGGACAGTGAGTGTGAGGCCATGTGACAGCCAAGGGATGTGGCAGGCATGCAGTGTGTGTGCATCACTTTCATAGCCGCTGGCATCTGCTCAGCATTACCTTTTGGAGCCACCCAGCCTCCTGGACACAGATCAACACCCTCCCACACCGATCCCCGAGGCCATAAGGGGTAGGTGACGCAGATTTGGCGCATAAAAGCAGAAGAGTGGGCCAGACCACATGGCTTCGCTGACTGCTGGGAGGGAAGACAGCCCTTCTGCCTGGCTCCCTCAGGCAAAAACTTGGTATTGTGCCACTTCGTTCTCCTCCCTTTCCCATGGCAGACATTGCTTTTAGATCATGACGTACACCGCCTCTCTCCATTCCCTGACATTAGTAATCCAACACGATGCTTTCCCCCCACTAAGCTCTTTGCTTATCTTACCTCTCACCTGCCCATACCGCATGGCTCCACTGGCCAAATGCTGGAGGGGCAAGTCCTTGTAACTCCATCTCCCTTCTAAGCAGAACAGGACACTGACACCACCTTTCTCCTAACATTGATTGGCAGACAGTGGCAATCAGTCATGATGTGCCACCTCCTTCCTCTTCATGATGGGTACTGTCTTCACCCAACCCTGTGTCCATCGTCGATGTCACTGGCCCATCACTATGCTCCCTGACCCCCCAAGATCTCTGTGCTCACTTGCACCTCTCACTTCATGTTCTCCCAAATTCTTGGAGCCTATGGGCAGAAACCCAACACTTCTGCTGCTCTCTCTTTTCCTTTGCCCATGGCAAACTTTGCTAATTATTCATGTGGTGCAGTCTCTCTCTCTTGCTCCTACATGGCAGGCACTGTAAGGAGATCACGATGAATGCCACTTCTCGATTCTCCCTGCCCTAGGCAGACATTACTAATCCATCACAACCCTCCTTTCCTCTGAGCCTGAGGATACCTGTATCCTTCACCCAGACAGATCTGATGGCTCTACTGGCCAAATGCTTGGATGGAGCATTAACTCACGATGCTCCAGTCTACTCCTGAGCAAAAATCTGCGCTACTTCTCTGCTCTCCTTTGCCCAGGGCAGACTTCTTTGCCTGTAGTAGTCTCTGCTAACCAATCACGATGTGCGCTATATTTCTCCTTTTCCTTAACCACAACAGACATTGCTAATTGATCATGGCTTGTGGTGCCCTTCTGCTATCCCTTACCCATAGCAGACTTGGCTAACCAATTCTGATTTGTGCCACTTCTCTTTGCTTCTTTGCCCATGGCAGACAGTATTAATCAATCCCAGTGTGCCACTCCTGTGCCATGGCAGACAATACTAATCAATCCCAGTGTCTGCCATCCTTTGCCCTCGGCAGGCAGTACTAATCAATCCCAGGGTGTATCAACTCTCCTCTATCCCTTGTCCACATGGACAGTGCTAATTGATTCTGATGCCTCCCCACCCCCCGGGGCCCAGGGCTCACCTGTGCCCTTCACCTGGAAGTCAGTGCGGCGCTGCAGCGTGGATGGCAGCTCATTCAGCCGTAGGCTCAGCTGCCGTTTGAAAGGTGAGTTCTTCTGGCTGAGCGCTGGGAACCCACGGAAGGAGCCCTGGCGAACCAGCTGCTCCAGAGGGGCATGGCGTCGGGGGATAGCAGCCGCAGTAGTGCCTGCAGCCACAGGGGTGCCTGCCTCACCCTTCTCACCAGGGGAGGTGGTGGCTGGCGTCGGGGACACATGCCCAGGCTGGGCAGGGCCGGGTGCCACAGTGGGGGCAGCTGCTGCCTCTGCTGGAGACATGGGAGAGACATGTGGTTAGACAGCTCACCTTGGCATTCAAGGCCTCTCCCACCTGGTGCTCTTGATCATCCCCCAACGCTGCCTTCCTCACCCAGGGTGTCCTGCCCTCAAGATGAGCAGGTGAGAGCCCTGGAACATCCCGTGGCTCCAGCCTGGCCCTCTGTATCCATCTTTCTGCCCCGATCTGTCTTGTTCTGCTGCTCTTGCCATTCTTCTAAGACCCTCTTCCTCCGTTTCTGATCATTTAACAAACACGTAATTGGTGCATGAACAACATATCAGGCACTGTTCCAGGTGCTTTGCAAGTATTAACTCATTCAATCCACACAACTACCCATGTGGGCGACACTGTCCCCATTTTACAGATGTGAAAACTGAGGCCTGGCAAAGGTTGGTGATTTCCCCAAGTCACACCACTAGAAAGAGGCGGGCTGATTGTGGAGTTGATGCCCAAACGCCCACCTGGCCTGTCTCTCCCTCCATCCTGGTCTGTCCACATCACGCTCTCTCTCTGTCACTCAGTCTGCTCCTGTCTCCCTACCTCCCACCACAATCCCAACCTCAAGCACCTCCTATTTTTCTCTATTTGCTACCAGTCATTCTAGACCTGACTTGTCACACTTTATCCTCTGAGCTTTCTAGATTGTTCCAGCCCTTCAGCCTGGGCTCCCTGCACTCTGGGACTGTTCTCTGTCCCCTGGGGGGAAACCCAGCCTTCCTACTCAGCCCGAGAGGCAGGGTCTCTTCAAGGGTAGGACACAAACACATACCCATCCTCCAAGCAGGGCCTCCTCAAGTCACAGCCTGAATGCCAAGGAGATTAAACTCCCTAGAGATATCCCCCTGGGATGGCACCCAGTGCTGCTTCTGCCATTGACCAGAGTGAAGGCTGAGGTACCTACCCAGGTCTGGCCCAGGGCAGTGAAAACAGCCTAGGACAGGTTGGAGCCAGGAAGGCACCTCAGCCCTCAACTCACTGTGTGACCTCAGGAAGTCCCCTCCCTTCTCTGAGCTCCAATTTCTCAACTAGAAACCTGGGATAAACATCCCTATGCTACCTCCTAAGGCTTTGAGAGGGTCAGTTTAGGTAGTGACTGATATGTGCTTTGGAATCCAACAGAACTGTGGTAACAACTTTTGGGAAGCTCTGCCGTGAAAAGAGCTTGGTGCTAAATGCAGTGCCTTGAAACTGTGATCTAGCAATGATGGCAAAATACTGTGGGATGCATTTGACAAATCAGACCTTACTTTTTTTTTTTTTTTTGAGTAGAGTCTTGCTCTGTTGCCCAGGCTGGAGGGCAATGGCATGCTAATGGCCACCACAGCCTCAACTTGCTGGGCTCAGACAATCCTTCCACCTCAGCCTTCCAAGTATGGGAACTACAGGCATGCACTACCACACCTGGATAATTTTTTGATTTATTGTAGAGACGAAGTCTTGCCAAGTTGCCCAGGCTGGTCTTGAACTCCTGGGCTCAGGCAATCCTCTCACCTCGGCCTCCCAAAGTGCTGAGATTACAGGCTTAAGCCACTGCACCCAGCAAGACCTTACTTTGTAAACCTGCATTTGGCTGTGCAAACAGCAAAGTGTTTTCTATAAAGCAAAGTCCCTGGAAATTAGAATATCTTTTGGAAAAAGCAAAACACTTTGCAAACTCAAAAGCACACTGTGGCCAGGCACGGTGGCTCAAGCCTACAATCCCACACTTTGGGAGGCTGAGGCGGGAGGACTGCTTGAGCCCAGGCATTCAAGACTAGCCTAGGCAACATGGCAAGACCTCATCTCCACAAAAATCAGCCAGGTGTGGAAGTACATGCCTGTAGTCCCAGCTACTTGGGAGGCTGAGGAAGGAGAATCGCTTAAGCCTAGGAGTTTAAGGCTGTGGTGAGTCATGGTAGGGCCATTTCACTACAGCCTGGGCAGCAGAGTGAGACTCTGATTTAAAAAAAAAAAAAGCCAGGCATAATGGCTCACGCCTGTAATCTCAACACTTTGGGAGGCTGAAGCAAAAGGTTTGCCTGAGTCCAGAGGTTGGAGACCAGCCTGAGCAACTTGGTGAGACCTCGTCTCTACAATAAATAAATAAATAAATAAATAAAACTAACTAGGCATGGTGGAATGTGCCTGTAGTTCCAGCTACTTGGAAGGTTGAGGTAGAAGGATCGTCTGAGCCCAGCAGGTCAAGGCTGTGGTGGCTGTGAGCATGCCACTGCACTCCAGCCTGGGCAACAGAGACTCCAAATAAAAAAACAACAAAGACCAGGCTCGGTGGCTCAGCCTGTAATCCCAGCACTTTGGGAGGCTGAGGCAAGTGTATCGCCTGAGCCCATGGGTTCAAGACCAACCCAGGCTAATTGGCGAGACCTCATCTCTACAATAAACCAAAAAATTAGCCAGGTGTGGTAGTGCATGCCTGTAGTTCCCACTACTTGGAAGGCTGAGGCAGAAGGATCACTGGAGCCCAGCAGATAGATGCTGGGGTGGCCATGAGTGTGCCACTGCATTCCAGCCTGGGCGTCGGAGTGAGTCTTAACTCAAAAAAAAAAATTGTCGACCTGCTGGACTCTGGCGATCCTTCTGCCTCAGTCTTCCAAGTAGCCAGAACTACAGGTGCACACTGCCACGCCTGGCTAATTTTTTTATTTCTTACTGTGGAGACGAGGTCTCACTAAGTTGCCCGTGCTGGTCTCGAACCCGTGGGCTCAGGCAATCCACTCCCCTCGGCCTCCAAAGTGCTGGGATTACAGGCTGAGCCGCCGAGCCTGACCTATATATGTATATATATTTCTAAATAAAACCTTAGGAAAAGAGACATTTTTTTATTACTTACTAGAATATTTCCAAAGTATGTTTTTTATTTGTAAATTACAAACCTCTTTACACTCTTCTTCACAGCTTACAAAGTATTTTACTGTTTACAGCATTTATTCGAATTTGTAAAGAATTTATCTTTAGAGCCGGGCTCGGTGGCTCAGACTGTAATCCCGCGCCTTGGGAGGCTGGTGAGTGGATTGCCTGAGCCCGCGGGTTCGAGACCCGCCCGGGCAACTTGGTGAGACCTCATCTTTACAATAAATCAAAAAAATTAGCCGGGTGTGGTAGCGCATGCCTGTAGTTCCAGCTACTTGGAAGGCTGAGGCAGAAGGATCGCTGGAGCCCCAGCAGGTCGAGGCTGCAGTGGCCGGGAGCGGCCAATGCACTCCAGTCTGGGCGACAGAGTGAGACTCCAACTCAAAAATAAATAAATAAATAAATAAATAAATAAAATAATTTATCTTTGGCAAAGCCCATTACAAAGTAAGGTGACAAAAGGAATGATAGAGTATATGAAATTTTGGTGTTTACAAAGAACACACTAGGAATGCAGTCCTTCTGGTTGACAAATATCCCTTCACCATTTACATAGGATATTAAAATGTATGAAGAGTCTGGGCACAATGGCTCATGCATATAATCCCAGCACTCTGAGAGGCCGAGGTGAGAGAACTGCCTGAGCCCATGGGTTCGAGACCAGCCAGGGCAACTTGTCGAGACCTCATCTCTGTAATAAATAAAAAAACAAAATTAGCCGAGCATGGTGGCACGTGCCTGTAGTTCCAACTGCTTGGAAGGCTAAGGCAGAAGGACTGCCTGAGTCCAGCAGATCAAGGTTGCAGTGACCATGAGTGTGCAACTGCTCTTCACCCTGGGTGACAGAGTGAGGCTCCAACTCAAATAAATAAACAAATAAATAAAATTTACTAAGAATGCTGTCACATGCAAAGCATATTACAGTGTGCTTGCTTTTTTTTTGATTTATTGTAGAGATGAGGTCTCGCCAAGTTGCCCAGGCGGGTCTCGAATCCGCGGGCTCAGGCAATTCACTCACCTCGGCCTCCCAAAGCGCGGGATTACAGGCTGAGCCACTGAGCCCGGCGCTTTTTTTCCTCTTTTCTTTCTTTTCTGCAGGGCTCAGGCGATCCTTCCGCCTCAGCTTTCCAAGTAGCTAAAACCATAGGGGTGCGCCACCACACCCAGCTAATTTTTTTTTATTTATTGTATAGACAAAGTCTTGCCAAATTGCCCAGGCTAGCATTGCATCCGTGGGCTCAGGTAATCCTCTCACCTCCGCCTCCCAAAGTGCTGGGCTTACTGGCATGAGCCACCATGCCCAACTGTACTTTTTAATATATGTGTGTGTGTGTGTGTATGTGTTTTCTTTTTTTCCAGACATGGTTTCACTCTGTCACCAAGGCTGGAGTACAGTGGAGTGATCAGGGTTCACTGCAGCCTCAAACTCCTGGGCTCAAGTGATCCTCCTGCCTTAGCCTCCAGAGTAGCTGGGACTGCAGGCGCGTGCCACCATGCTCAGCTAATTTTTGTAGAGATGGGATTTTGCTATGTTGCCTAGGCTGGTCTTGAACTCCTAGCCTCAAGATATCCTCCTGCCTTGGTCTCCTCAAAGTGCTGGGATTACAGGTGTGAGCCACTGCGCCCAGCCAGAAATATTTTAAATTTACAGAAAAATTATAATAATGGGACAATGAATATGCATGCTCTCTTACCCTCTGGTCCCTGATGTCCATGTTGCCCTATTTGCCTGCTTGCTCACTCTCTGTCTTTCCATAAGTTTTCTTCTGTACCACCAGCCTAAAACTTCCAGTATTCACCTCCTAAGAAAGGCCATTCCCTACAGAACCACAGTTTAATCTCTAGTTGGGTTAGGCACGGTAGCTCACGCCTATAATCCCAGCCAAGGAGAGAGAACTGCCTGAGCCCAGGAGTTTGAGACCAGCCTGTGCCACTTGGTGAGACCTCGTCTCTATGATAAATTTAAAAATTAGCTGGGTGTGGTGGTGCACTCCTGTAGTTCCAGTTACTTGGAAGGCTGAGGTGGAAGTATCGCCTGAGCCCAGCAGTTGGAAGCTCCAGTGGCCATGAGCATGCCACTGCACTCCAGCCTGGACCACAGAGTGAGACGCCAACTCAAAAAAAAAATTACTTTCAGCCGGGCTCGGTGGCTCAGCCTGTAATTCCATGCCTTTGGGAGGCTGAGGTGAGTGAATTGCCTGAACCCGCGGGTTCGAGACCTGCCTGGG